TATAAAAAAAAAAACATTATGAAAAACTCAATTTCACCTTAACCATGTAGTGTATATAAACGTAACTCTTTAAAATTCTTTTTATCGATTAATACATGTCCAAAAGGAACAATTTGTATAGTTTCATATATTCGTTTTCTACCTACACGACAAATAAAGCGCTATATATTGATCTTATAAGGTCTATATTTTGTGTCGTATACAATTAAATTAATGATAGTATATATGTTCTCAGCCTAGCTGAGATAGAACGTAGAAATATGTATAATACAGAACTTTCTCCCAAATAAAAAAGTATTACGACTCCACTTAAGCATTGATATTCAAAATTTTTACACACACAACTTCATTGATTCGTTTTCAAATCCCAAAATTTACATACGTTCAAATATAAAGTATGACTCCACTTAAGCATTGGTATACATATACGTAATCATCTCTCTCTTACATCGATCAAACTTAGACCTTCTAACAGATCTAATTAGACTACTTGAGTACTTAAGACAAAAAAAAAAATTTTAAATTCACCACAAGAAATAGTTAACTTACACATACCTTATATTAGATCTCAAGCTTATTACGACATAAATCTAATTTGCTTGATACTTTTTCCCTGAAGCACTTATGTTAATTATGAGTTATATCACAAAGTCAACCCATATATATATATATATATATATATATATATATATATATATATATATACGTATATTTCTCATGAAACTCCTAATCTCATTAGTATTATTAGAAAAGATAATAAATCATTTTTAAGTTTATCTCATAACATATAATATTTATCTCATTAAAATATAAATAAATATATAAATATATATACTTGTAAAAGACGTTTCAAAATCCTAATAAAATTAACTTCTTTATCACTATAATGTCACATACTCTAACTTATATTTATGTTATAAGTTCGTAATTAATTTACTACTACAAATTAGTTACAAAGTGTCACAAATGTTATGATCACTAATATTGTCATATTTATGTCACTAATTAGTACGGAATAGCTACAAAGTTATGACAAACAGAACTAGTCACAAAATCGTTTCTAAATCGTCACGAGTTTGAGACGAAAAAAGTTCGTCTTAAAAGTACGTCATAATAGCTTGACTTTTTTGTAGTGTATGTTTCTTCAAGGATCAAACTTCAAAAGCAAGATTTTTAGCTAAGCAAATGCTAGGTAGAAAAAATTACATTGTCTTGGATTGTGTAGAGGCTGGTGAGTTCTTTTCTTCTGCTCATGGATGTGCCACAGCTCCACAGAAAGAGATAAAATCACAACAAGCAGATGAAGATCTAACAGAGTCTCCTTTGTTGCAGAAATAGAGTTGTCATTCGGTTTTGACCTTTTTAGTAGCAGTTAATAAAATTGTGCTACAATCATCTGCTACCAATACTCAAATTTCTTGTAGTGATAGCCATGACAGCAATTGGAAATAGTATAAATAGTTACAGAATTGAGAAATTTGTTTTGGAGAAATAGACAGGTGAAAGGTGCATAGTCAGTTCTATGTATTCATACTCACCTCCAGTTTAGGGGCTTATGATTTATAACATAATACAAATATATATAAACCTACCTTAAGTATCATGTTACTTATTGTTGTGTTGTGTTTGACAGATGCTTTATGGTGATATGCTATGGGTTCTGAATCGCGGGTCTTTAAAAAGGACGTACATATCATTCTTTATAATTTTATTTTATCAACTACTCAATTTTGCATGGTCAACAAAATTTATTATCAACGTAGTGAATACAATTAGTATTTTAATGAGGCACTAACAAAATTTGATATGTATATGTTAGAAATTTAAGAGATAAATTTAATAAAATACCAAGGTGTACCAAATGAGAAAAAACGTATTATATATGTTAATTATAATCAGGGAAAAAGCTTTTTAATTCGCCATCTATTTTTATTTTGGCCGTTTAATAACTGTAGGTTTTGAATTGGACTAAAAATACTTGTGTTATTTAATTTTGTTCGTAAAATTGTTTGTTTATTATAACGTTGGTCGAATCGTACCCAAGAGTTAACTGCCGTTTACGGCGTTGATGGAACCTCTAACTGGGGTTAACTATTAACTTACGTGGTTAATTAGAGTAAACAAAAGACATTGTTGTCCTTTTCACATTTCCCCCAAATCGATTTTGACAAAGAACCCTAAATCTCTCTCTTTTCCTCTATTCTTCTTCTGTTTTCTTCGATGATGTTGGGTGTTTGATATTATCGATTGGTTGTTATTGGTGGTTTCTTCGTCGATGGTGACTTCGTTTTGTCTCGGAGAGATGATGTATGTAATCGGCGATTCAATTTCACCTTTTAGGGTTAACGATTATTATTTGGGATGGGGTGAAAATCGATTTTCTGGGGATATCGATATGAGTTTTGTAGTGATTACAGACCTAATCACTTAATTTTCGTCGATTCAATTACTTCTTTTAGGGTTCATAAATTTTCTGAACTGGGGATGGATATCGATTTTCTGGGTTGGGGATGCATTTCGATTTCTGGGTGGGCAAAAGCTTCTGAGGTATGTATTGAAGATGAACTATGATGTCAAGCTTTGTAAATGGGGTCAAACTCAGCTCGCAGCCATATGCAGGCATGAGAAATGCCAATGGAAAATATATTGTTCTGTGGAGAAGAGGTTGACGAAATGGGTAGTCAAAACATATGTGGATACTCATAATCATGCTGTTAGTGGAAAAGCTAGGATGTTGAAACAGGGAGTCATTGGAAGATTATTCAGAGATGAAGCAAGAAGAAGGCCAAACTTGAGATGGACTGATATTAAGGATGAGATAATGATGAGGTATACAATATCTGTTTCTAAGTGGATATCTCAAAAAACAAGAAGAGTAGCTTTTGTTTTGGTTATCGAAACGCAAAGATAGCAGTTTGCAAAGCTTTATGACTATGAGGGTGAGCTTCAGAGATCAAATCAGGAGACGCATACAGAGCTTGTTACCATTCTTCAAGCTAATGGTAAGAATCAGTTTGATAAATTCTATGTATGTTTTGAGAAGCTAAGAAGAACATGGAAGAGTTGTTGTCGTCCCATCATTGAACTTGATGGGGCTTTTTGAAATGGGAGTTGAAGGGTGAGATTTTAGTAGCTGTTGGTAGGGATGCAGACAATAGGATTTATCGTATTGCTTGGGCAATAGTTAGGGTGGAGGACAATGAATCATGGTCCTGGTTTGTGGAGAATTTGAAGAAGGATTTGGATTTGGGTATAGGTGATGGTCTAACTGTTATGTCAGATAAGCAGAAAGGGTTGATTAATGCAGTTGCTGATTTACTTCCAAATGAAGAACATAGGCACTGTGCTCGACATATTTATGCCAACTGAAGGAAAATATATGGAGATTATTGCCATGAAAGTTACTTATGGGCCATTGATTATAGTGCAACTGAAGGTGATTACATGTACAACATGGATGCGTTGAAATCATATGATCCACCTGCTTATGAGGACTTGCTGAAAACTGAACCAAGAGCATGGTGCAGAGCATTTTTCATGTACCATTCCAGTTGTGAGGATGTTTGCAACAACTTATCTGAGAGTTTCAACAAAACCATTAAAGAAGCTAGGAAGTTGCCAGTCATCAATATGGTTAAGGAAGTTAGGAGGATATCCATGAAGCGTATCACGAAGCTGGCAGCCAAGTCAGGTAAATGTCAGACTAAGTACCCTCCAAAAATAATAAAGATACTTGAAGCAAATCGCAAGTCTTCAAAGTTTTGCTCTGTTCTGAAGAGTGGTGAGAACAAATATGAGGTCTTAGAGGGTAGTGGTAGCTATGCATTCAATCTCCTTCTAGGAGAGTATGCTTGCAACCAATGGAAGCTCACTGGCATACCTTGTCCACATGCAATCTATGTGATAACAGAACACAACCGGGATCCAGAAGAGTAAGTCTTACTCATTGTAGCTTACTGACTTAATTTATGTGATTTATGTGACTCTCTTGTAGATTATGGATTTATGATCATGTTCTTGTTTGTAGGTATGTGGAAGGACAATTACGGACCAGTGTTTGGCAAGCCACTTACAAGGAGAACATAGATACTGTAAATGGGGAAAGACTATGGAGAAAGAGAGGCAAGGGACCTATTGAAGTACCTGATAAGAGGAAAAAGAGAGGATGTCCAAAGAAGTATGATAGGATCAAAGAGCCAAGTGAATTATCCAACAATCCAACAAAGCGTACAAGGGAAGGCAAAGCTGTGACATGTAGCAACTGTAGGCAAGTAGGCCACAACAAGGGAACCTGCAAAAACCAAACTGTATACTCAGCCCCTCCACGCAAAAGAGGACGACCAAGGAAGAGTTTGGTAAGTAATCTGATTTTGTCCTTCAACTATGATCTTAGTTTCATCATAGCAATAGCTAACCAGAGTTATTACAGGATAATGATGATCCATGAAGTATCCACAATGCTCCAAATAGGTGGAAAGCTGCTCAAAGCCAATCCACACCACCACATGCTGCTCAAAGTCAGTCACAGAATCCGCAACATTCAAGTGCTCCGGCAGCTAATCCAAGTGGTAAGGGACGTGCACGTGGACGTCCTCCTAGCACTAAAAATGGTTGTGGCAAGGGTCGTGGAAAGGGTCGTGGTAGAGGATCCGATTAAGCTCCTAAACCGCCAGTGTTTTTTATGTCTCCTTGGACTGACAAGGTCTTTGATGTTTGGCGACCAGAGAAGAAGTAGGACTAATATGAGTAATATCTTTTGTGTGCTTAATGACTTTGTAGGATGATTTCTATGTAGGATGCTTGATGCTTTGTTTTGGTAGGATCCAGATATTTTTTTGGGTGGGATCCTTGTAATTGCAAACCAATATGCTATTTCGGATTAATGAAGTTTGACAACTTAGGATAAACAAGATTACATTTCACAAAGTTCCCATTTTCACAGCCATACAACATGAACACCAACTAAGTAACCAACTTCTAACAACATAACAATACGTAATCTACTTCTTTCCCATTACAAGTATCATTGCAATAACAACAATGAAACCTCCCCAAGACATCACCACAAACTGCCGAAGCAATTTTTCCCTCTCATTAGCTCTCATAACTTCATTTCCAAGCTTCTTGTTCTCCTCATTAGCTCTCATCACTTCAATTTCAAGCTTCATCTTCTCTTCCTCATGTTTCTTTACTAGGTCAGTGGAGAATGTGGTGGAACCTATCCTAATTTGTTCATTCATGATCTTTAAAGATTCTTTTAGTGCCTTGATCTCATCTCTCGCCTCGAGTAATCTCACTTTCTGCCAACCGTGTGGCTTATCTTCATCTACCCAATTGAGTAAACCATGTACAGCACATCTGAAGAATCTTCTACTCGGATTCTCATTTGTCCATGCTGTCACAATACTTGTCGCTCTACCACAATTGCAAAGAGGACCACGGCTCTGTCTTGAATTTGCATCAGATCCGGAACTTGAGCTGAGCATTCTCTCAATGAAAGGAGAAAAGAAGAAAATAGATTTTAGGGTTCTACAATGGAAAAAATCAATCCCCCAGTCGATGTAGAAGAAGAATGGAAAAGGGCAACAGTGTCTTTAGTTTACTCTTATTAACCACGTGATGTTAAAAGTTAACACCAGTTAGCGGTTCTGTCAACGCCGTAAACGGCAGTTAACTCTTGGGTACGATTCGACCAACGTTATATTAAACGAACAATTTTACGAACAAAATTAAATAACACAAGTATTTTTAGTCTAATTTAAAAACTACAGGTATTAAACGGCCAAAATAAAAATAGATGGCGAATTAAAAAGCTTTTTCCCAATTATAATCCTAATTAATCTGGGAAGTTGACTTCAAAAGATATATATGCAAGTTTCTCTAGTAAAACTTAGTTAATCTTAAAATTACTTTGTTTTTTCTTGGTTGACTATTTTTATATAAAAATATTTTTACAAATAACGGGAATGAAGCTAACTCCTTCAAGTCCTTCGGTGCAACATCTACTCTTTGTCGATGATAGTTTATTTCTTTGTCAAGTTAACTTACCGGAATGCTCGAAGTTTTTTCACTGTTTACAGCTATATGGAAGAGTTTCGGGACAAGAAATAAACTTTTAAAAATCATCTATAACCTTCGGCAAGAATGTTGATCCATATATGAGGAGGCTGCTCAGTCTATTCTCCGGTATTTCACAAGAAGGTGGGGCTGGAAAATACTTAGGTCTCCCTGAATGTTTTAGTGGCTCTAAAAGAGAGCTTCTTAGCTACATTAGTGATCGCCTAAGAGCTCGGTGTAGTGGGTGGTACGAGAAGACTTTATCACTAGGAGGTAAAGAATTGCTTCTTAAATCAGTGGCGATGGCTCTTCCGGTCTATGCAATGTCATTTTTTGTTTAACTAAGCACCAATTTCAGAAACTCACTAGTGTGATGTCAAAGTTCTGGTGGAATGCAAGTGAGGATGCACAAAATATGCATTGGGTTGCTTGGGAGAAGCTCTGTAAACCTAAAAATCGCGGTGGTTTAGGGATCCGGGAAATAGGACAGTTTAATCAAGCATTACTAGCTAAGCAAGCATGGAGATTGTTAAACTGTCCCGACTCTCTTTTATCCCGGGTGTATAAAGCAAAATATTTTGCGGATAAACCGTTTCTTCAAGCAAAAATTGGATATAGACCGTCTTATGCTTGGCGTAGTATTTTGTTTGGGAGAGAACTGTTGGAGAGAGGTCTCATAAAGTTCATTGGAGATGGTGCTAATACTTTCATATGGGCTGTGAAGTGGGTGTTTGATGGCAGTCCAAGAAGACCTTACAACAAGGAGAGGTTTTTAGATATTAATTTGAGAGTTTCTTCTCTCATAACATCGCAGGGAGATTGGAACCTTCAACTCTTAAATGATTTTTTTCCTCCATGTGATGTTACTAGAATTATATCTTTTCCTCCGGCTGTGGAGTTCAAGGATCGTGACGTTTGGGCTTATACAAAAGATGGTAACTACTCTGTCAAGAGTGGGAATTGGCTCATTCACCATGAGAGGGAGTCTACTGTGGTTGAAGATAGAGATACTCAACTACTGAACTCTATTAAGGAGAAGGTTTGGGAGGTGAAAACAGAACCCAAAATTAAGATGTTTCTATGGAGAACTTTATCTAGGGCTGTAGCAGTCAGTGAGTGTATTAGACGTCATGGTATCAACACGTCTCCTCTCTGTCAAGTATGTAAAGTGAAGGAAGAGACAAATTCTCATGTTCTCTTTGAGTGTCCGCTGGCCGATCATGTATGGCGTACTAGTGGACTGCTGGGAAACGGACAAAGATTTAAGACATCTATCTTGGAGAATATTGAGTTTTGTTTAAGCTTAATGCATAAACCAGAAATTCCAGCACAGTCTAGAGCAGTCATACCTTGGCTACTTTGGGAGATTTGGAAGGCGCAGAATGGGATGATCTTCTCGAAAAGAATGTATGACCCTCATATCTTATGGGTATCGACTTTGAACTAAGATCAACGTACACATATGTGAGATTGAAGTTTGAGAATGAAGTTGAAGTTATGTCGTATAAGATCCGAAATAAGATCAGTAAACTTGTTAAGGCATCATGTGATAAGGAAATCACATTTCAAAATAGGGAGAAGATATCAAGCAATGAATTGGTTAGAGAGGACCACTAATCATGCTTGATAGAAGATTGGTTCCACATACGGAGCAATGGTGGCACCAAGCAAATAGCAAAGAAGATGGAGACATCGAAGGATCCAAGAAGAATTTATATTAATTCAAAGACAAAGTTAATATCATCAAAGAAGGGAAGTTGATATTTCAGAGACGAGAAGGAGATTTGTGTGGAGCTCAATGAACCAAAGAGAATCTATATTAACTCAAAGGATGGAGTTAATATTTGATCTGATTATGGGAAGGTTCAAGACATGTGGTCATTGTTTTAAGCGTATCTTTGCAACCACGACGAATCGATGCACAAAACGACTTGGAGAAGATGCTCACTTCAACTACAAAACTCCTCAAAGAAGAATCAAGTCAGACGGAGTTCAGATGAAGGAGTTATTGATTTTACAAATAAGGTGCTCTCCAGTTTACCCGATTCAGATATGCGTCCATTCAACGAAGGATTCCAAACGGGTCAGATTGAATTAAGCTACACACCAAGTTGTTCTACAATCTTGGTCGATTTCTCTCTCTTACATAGCATTTAATTTTTTCGATTTCTCTCTCTTACATAGCATTTAATTTTTTCGATTTCTCTCTCTTACATGCAATTTAGAGTTTGAATTTCATCTCCCTAGATGCTCTGCATATTGATCTATTATTATGGAAGTTTTTGATGTATTTCTCCTCTATATAATGAGGTTATCTCATGAATAATAAAATAAGTTTTTTCATATTTTTGAAACCTTTTGAGAGTGTTTATCCATTAATCAATGCATGATCCGTTTTGGTGTATCATATCCAGGGGGTATTGACGAGATTGATACTCATTGTCACCCTTGAATTCGTCTTAGTGTGTCATATTGATACTAGGGATTTTTCTATCAATTACCCTAGAGTACTATCATGTCATTGCAGTACAATAGGTATCAGTACAATCAGGTGTGATGGTAGCAATCAAGATGTATCAGAAATGTTTAAGTCAAGCAAGTATAAATGATCTTTTGGTTTTCAGTGATCCTAAGCAAACATGTTAAACATGCGATAAATGTAAGGCTGTAAAACATAGACTACCATGCATAAACTAAAACGTAACGATTATTGATACTGGTAAGAAAACAAAGCGGACCAAGTAAATAACAAGAGAATTAAATAGAAAGCACAAATGGATAGAATATCCCGAGGATGAGGTTATTGATGTAGGTGGAGTATGCTAATCTACTTCGAGTGTTTATCAAACTGCAAATATTCTAATCCCTAAACAATGAACTTCTAATACTAGTCAATCCAATCTCTTGGCAGAAACTATCAAGTTTACAACACTTCCTAATCTCATTTCTCATTGTTGAAACATGCAGTAAACAGGCATAAAGAAACAGCTCATTAATGTCAATAAACATCTTAGACAACCAATCTCTTGGGCTAAGCATGTAAATCTCTGGCACTAGTTGGTTCAGACATTTCATCATATACCTTTCGGGTATGAAATGTCTATGACCCAGTTCCAATTCATCAGAAAAGAACTAGCTAATAAAACTCTATTCCAGAAGGGAAACAAAACGAATCTAACATAAACACTCTAGCAAACTATCATCCTTCACCTAATCTATCCCATCCTCAAGAACCCTAACACTGCTCAGACGCAGAAATCATATTAAACATCATGAAACAAGAATCGTTCAAAACATGCATAATAATAAAGATGACAAGAAGAGTAACAACAATGATTCAATAACTAGTTCCAAAATCTCAATAACTCAAAAGAAATATGTATTACAATTTTCTGGATTGTTTGGTGGCTAACAACAAAAACCTAATAAAAACTCGATCCCTTGGGCAATACAAATGAGACCTATTTATAACAATGTTTGGAAAAACCTTAAAACATAAAACGACAACGTAAAAGCGGTTTAAAATTTGTAATGGTCATGTCGGTCGAGTGAGCGTGTCGAGTAACACTTAATTTCTTCTCTGCATCATTTCATACTCGATCGTGTATCTTGATTGAACGTGTCGAGTGATCTGTGAAATCATCAGCTACTTCTTTGCTTTGCTCGATCATGTCACTCAAGTGTGTGCATCGAGTGACAGGTGGTTCTGCTTCGCGTCCCTTCTGCTGCTCACTCGATTGTATGCGTCTGCTGCTCACTCGATCGTCGATGTATTTGCAATGTATCTCTGCTGCCTACTCGATCATCCTACTCGATCGAGTCCATCGAGTGAAGTATGTTCCTGTAGTGCATCCTTGCATCGCACTCGATCGTCCCACTCGATCGTATGCACGTCAAGTAACGCTTGTTCCTCTGCTTCGCTCTGCATGTCTCCTAAGTACCTGAAA